GTATAGCTATAAGCGCCTTTAAGAGGATTCAAAATTACGAAGATTAACCACGCCACAGGCACTGTTGACCTCCCTCCAATTTTGTCCATCATCTTCTCCAACACCTAAGTAAATATATATGTATTAACTGAGGAAGGAATATTACTTATAATAGACTAGTAGTCGGTTTTGCTATGAAACCGACAATTGGTTCCATAGTGGAGCCAACCTTTAATATACAACAAATAAACTTACCATATTAATAAAATTATATTAGTGTTATTTAAGTAATCAGAAAATATGGTAGGTTTACTTGTTGTATATAAAAGTTGTCTCCATTATAGAACTAACTATTAGTTTCATAGCAAAACCGGACTAGTAGTAATTGTGGAGATCTCTACAGTTTCTAACCTGTTTTTATAGACCAAAATAGACCACTTCAAGCAAAAATTGTCAAAATAGACATGTTGACTTTCATAACATGCCAAATCCTAATTGCTGACTTCTCCAGATTTGGCATTACCTTTTGTTTGAAAGTAAACTACACACCTTCCATTCTCGACTTTATTTACTGTTTTTTACTGTTTGTTTTCATTATGTTTGTTGTCCCAAATCTTCTTCTGTTTGAATTGGGGTGGTGGCAGGTGTGTAATCTAGATAAATCAGATGTTTCTGAAGTCCGCATTCCCACTGTCGACATATATATTATGGTGACTTTGGAAATCCCGTAACTTATGGGTTTTCGAGAAAGTCCGTAAGCCTGCACACCTTATTGTTCAAGGAGCTGTCCGGGATTGGAATGGTTTTTTGGGAAGAAGGGGAACTCAGGCCAACATCAAGTCGTCTTCTTGAGCGGACAGGCGAGGATCTGAGATCAGTGGGCTGTCTTTTTCTATTTTTTTTTTTAGTAGCCAACCACGATATTCAGAGTTATGCCCTGACTAATCCGTTGGTCGGCGGTTGTTCACTGCTTTCCTTCCTATTTCGTTGTGTCTTTGTGATGTGGTTTTTGGTTTTTATTTATCTAAACCACCTGGTGTGGATCTCCCATTTGTCGCCAATGCAAAAATTGTTAGCTCACACTTATGGGCTTTCATAATTTGCCAAATCCTAGTTGTGACTAATAAAGTTTTGACCGATTAAATTATTTTTTTAGAAACGTCAATTATCATGCTTAAGAAAATTATAATATACCAAAAGTTCAATCAATTGCAAAACAATCTGTGAAAATTGAAAAGACAAAAAGCTAATATTAAAATCCAGCTACATTTTCGTGAAAATTGCGATAAACGAGTTAGAAAATACATGAAAGGTGTGAACTGTGAAGCAGTGGTTATAAAGATATGGTCTTTTTTTTTTTTTTCAAACAAATTTATAAGTATTTGGTTTTATCTAATATATTTTTTTTTTTAATTTCGTTTTGCTTTGTCTTGATTATTTCTAATATACTTTGGGGTCAAATTTAGATTACGATGTGCTTTAAATGTATTGTGCGCGTGACTTGGTGGG